TTGTTGTTTGCCGTCGAGTCGGCCCCGACTCATAGCGACCCCTCCTTGGGTTTCCGAGGCAGTATCACTACGGAAGTAGGGTTCCCAACCTTCCTTCCGAGGAGTGGCTGGTGGGTTTGAACCGCCAGCCTTCTAGTGAGCAGTCAAGTGCCTTAGGCACTATGCTACCAGAGCTCACAAAAGTACACTTAGCAGAGTGAAATGGGGGAAAAAAAGATGGGGCAAATATCAGTATCAAACCAGGCAAATTCATTGCAATAACTGTGAATTTTTTGCAAACTAAAAAATTAACTCAAATTTCCATCAAAAAATTAAGGAAAAAATATATTCCACTGTTTTGAAATTGAGCTCTCAAATTTTTAAAAAAACACAAACTAATTTCATTTCTTAAATTTACTATAAACAAGTATGGTATCACTAACAAAGTAGCAGCTCAAATCTTACCACTGTTGGCATGACTTAATAACTCTTGATTACAAGGCATCAGGGTATGTCCAGGAGCTCTGAGAGCGCAGTGCTTAAGGTACTTGACTGCCAATCAGAAGGCTGGCAGTTCAAACCCACCAGCCACTCCTCGGAAGGAAGATGGGGCAATCTACTTCCATAGTAATACTGCCTCGCAAACCCAAGGAGGGGTCCCTATGAGTCGGGTCTGACTCGAGGGCACATAACAACAACAGGGTATGTCCAATTTTTCTGTTTACTGGGGTTGTGGTTGTTGTTATGTGCCATGGAGTCAGACCCGACTCACAGTGACCCCTCCTTGGGTTTCCGAGGCAGTATCACACAGAAGATTTTGCCCAACCTTCCTTCTGAGAGGAGTGGCTGGTGGGTTTGAACCACCAGGCTTCTGGTTAGCAGCAGTCAAGTGCCTTAGACACTAAGCTTCCAAAAGCTGAAGCAGAAACCTTTCAAAGAGCAAATGTTAATTACCCTTTTGCACTTGGTAATACTTTCTTGTTGTTGTTGTTAAGTGCTGTCGAGTCGTTTCGAACTCATAGCGACCCCATGCACAGCAGAATGAAACACTGCCCGATCCCGCGCCAGCCCCACAATCCCTGTTATACTTGAGCCCATCATCGCAGCCACC